AGGTACTTCTTCCATCATTGCTTACTTCTCTGTGAGCCCCTAATTATTATTATTCCTTCCACTCTCCCATGGCTGTGGCAGGCGGGAATGGCTGGTGCTGTGGGTGCCAAGTATTTGTGTCCTGACCTTTTACTCTCTGGACAGGTCTGAGTGCGAAAGCATCACCTATGAGGGGCTAAAGCGATGGGATGCTAGTCTGGCTGGTGTATTATTCATGAGTCTCCCCTTTTGAGTGGGCTGTAATTCAGCATCCAAATCCCAGATGTAGTTCAATCTGTGCTCCATACACTGTCCTGACTGCTGGCTATTGATCACAACCAAGGTACCCGGGTGCTGAATAAGCACAGGGACTTTATGTTATAGGGCTTTAAGCGCCTCACTGATAGCACTGATCCATCACTAGATAGTGGAAATGATCCAGAGTTTGCTTGCAACAGCTGATCAGATGAGCTGAGAAGAGATGCACCCACACCATTTATTAAACAGGAGTTGATGTGCTAGTAGTATGTTTTATGTCGTGCATCAGTGCAACCTATCAGTGCAGCCGAGCGTATAAAGCTCTGTTTCTGAATCAAATTCTACTTCCACAGAAATCATCTGTACTATGATTATAGCTATACATTCAGAAATACACACAGAAAAAAACTAGTTTGATGAGGTCCCTTTGTGAAAGGTGCCAGAGGCAAGTTATCACAATCTAATAGGCATCACACTATTAATGGACAGTTGAACACTGCAAGTCATTTGTCCACTTTATTCATCAATCACATATGGGCAGCCAAATGTGGCATGACCACAACTCTTCCCTGTCGGCATTTGTCAGGATGATCATCATCCATCATCGATCATGTTGCTAAATTACTGTATAATATGAAACGTGAATAATAATTAACATGTCAACTATAGCCAGCTGAGACATACAGGACTAACTGATACATACTGAAATACCCACGTAACAGTCTTGTTGCATACTTGGAAATATGTCATGTTAATTACATGTTGTTCAGCAAGTTTTTCAAAATTAACTGCACATTTTAAACTGATTTCTGATTAAACATTAATTGATAATGAGAAAAAAATCTGAGAAGTTTCGACAAATTTAGGACCACTGCAAAATTCACAGGGTGGGAAACTGGTCAATATGCTTGAAACCGGATATTTAACAGAGAAAATGCTTCAGTTCGACAACATCAGTTCTCAGAACATTAGCCAAAAGTTAAGATGCTCACTGAATATCTTTGGTTCCTCTACAGTCCAAAAAAAAAGTGATTCAATTCTTTTTAAAAACTTCACAGTACTTGGTAATAAAAGTCAGAACAACTCATATGCACATGTAAATCAGTGAGTAAACTATGTGTGAAAAGCATATGCCAGAGAGTGGATTTTTGCTGTCTAAGCCATAATGAAGAATAATAGCCTTATCAACAAAGCACCTCACATCCCAACACGGAGATCCTATCACTTCTCATTTCCTCGGCTCATGTATTTCCTGTATCTCTGGTGGAAAATGTTCCGTGTGTTCCCTGCACTGTAACTGACAGCCTAGTCATGTCAAAAGACTCAAGCTTTCTGGCAGCAGTCCTTTCACAACACAGGGAAGAGAAAAGTGACAGGTGCTAGCTGATGCATCAGCAGTATTCACAAAAAGTCACCAGATTCCCCACAAGGAACATGCTTGTCATTAAAACAAACAAGAAAAGAACTGATGAGTGCATTAATCAGAGTGCAGCGAGACATCGGTGGTGTGAGCTGTAGTACGCGGTGTTCCTCCCCAGGAGCAGCTGCACCTGAGGGAGGGGAGATTAAGAGCTCCACGCTGGAGCTCCTGTATCTGAAATCTGCCTGAGCTCATCGTTTCTGCTCCTCGCTAAGAGGCTGTGAGTGGATATCAGGCTCAGGCAATCTATTCCCCTGCAGAGCTTTGGCTGACCGACATCAATGCCGTGCATTGTCAAATTATTAATTAAATGCATACAAGCATAATCAGATGCAGAAATAGTCAGACCTTTGGGACTGCTAACATGGAATAGAAGCTGAATCTAAATTGCAGATTTCTTCTCATTTTCCAATGCTAACTAGATAAGCACTTTTAGGAGCAAAATTTTATGGTCTTAAAAATTTAGCATCACTTTGCACTTATTTACATCTGTTGTGATGTAAAGCATGCACAAACATAAAATTTCTTTACAACCCAGGCTCTCAAAAAATGAAAATGCATGACAAAAAGGATTTAAAGAGAAATGTTTCTGTTTTGTCAAATGATGCAGTATAGGCTGCAGCATAAATGTTTACATAGTGAGAGATAAGATGTTGGTGTACACTGTGTTATAAGTTACTGTTTCATTGCCTTTTCACAGGTGTGCACAATGTAAATGCCACAGTTTTGAAAACTAAAGCAAAGTCCGGGTCCTGCCTCCATATATTTCATTAACTTGTGTTAATGTAGTTGCTGTGGCTCCGGGGTATTTTCTCAGTACTCAATGCACTTTTGCTGAAATAATAAGATCTATCAGTCAGCGCAAAGCAAAAACAGCTTAATTTGCAGAATAAAGGTCATTGGAGCTGTTAGTTTTGAGGAGAGCCGACAGAGAACGGTGATCAAAACAACCAACTCCAGAAGAAACGCTGCCTTGAACTATTACAGTATATTGAGGTGTTCACATGATGTAGTTCGCAAAATCAGTGTCGAGTTTAAAACACTGAGCTGACTATTATGATGTGCCCTTATGAACAAAACCCAACCCACTTGTCATCCAACAACTCACTGGATGTACTGCATATGCTGATATACTGCAGGAGACTATTCATGCTGCCAAAAGCTATCAGGCCTGTGGGGAAAACTACTTTCCAGCATATGTGCTTGTGAATGTTTCCAAATCCTTTAATTGACAAGTGATTTAAAGATTATTGAGCCTGTGGGTCCAAACTAGTGACTGATCAAGTGTTAACTACATTTATTGAATGAGTGAAGACTTAATGAGTGTGTCCTATATATATTAAACAAAAAAGTCAATTATACTTATTCACTCCTATACTGTTTCCTTGTGTCTAATTTATATTGTAAATGTATATTGTTATATTGTGTCCAATTATTTAAAGAAGTGCCTATTTGACCACATGACCTACATTCATATGAATATAAAAATGACAGTAGCTGTTTTTGTTCACAATTTTTCATATTACTACAAATATAAGCTGTGCAAATGTGCATACTAATAGAATGAAATGACTAAGCTGACTGACCAGATAATGCTGTGCAAAAAATACCATGCATGTCTAAATTTACAAAAGAAAGAAATTAAGAAAATTCTACTTATTAAGCTAGATAAACCATTTACAAAACCATTGGATTCTATGAAAAATGCATCATCAAAAAAGCAGAAAAGGTGGATTGTCTATGCTCAAAGAGAGGTGGCATTTTGGAGATGTGGTTTTTCACAGGAGAATGACAAAATATTAATTACAGCTACATGGAAGTCACAAACAAAGAAACATGTAAATGTGAAAGACAGTACTCTCATAATGGTTGTTTTTTTTTCCATTCATTAGATTAAAATTATTTTGATTGTTAAGTTGATCATCTAACTTGCTAATGCAAAGCAACCATTACCTGCAAGTTGAATACAAGCTTCTATGATATTTATTTGTGAATGTTCTGTACATTATCTGGTCAAAAAATGGTAGTGAATGAATGTTCAAGTTGGAAAGTGATTAAAGTGACGGTAAATCTGAAGCTATTATGCACTAAAAACACTTAAAGTCATCAAATCTTAAATGTATGATGTATATCTGAAGTGTCAGTCTTTGGGTCAGTCCTGCATTGCCATTGTGCCAAGGTGCATTTATAATAAATGACTTTATGACAGATTGCTATAATGCAGGAAATCCATGCAGAGCCCAGACTAGAAGGTATGCTGCTCCAGCAGGGCAAATCAGCAGTAGCTACTGTAAGGCTCCAGTTGTGTCAAATGAGGGAGAGTGTGTGTATACCCACCAAATATATCTGAGAGTGATTTGATAACAATCACCGACTTTACAAAAGGGCCTCTTGCTTTGTTTAGTTTTTCACAATGGAAATCAACACCAGTATGTATTTCATTATTAAACCATGGTGCATATCTGCTCATTGACTAATGCAAGTTTAAACAGCTGCTTTAGCTTGCACTCTGTTGTCATCTAGTGGCTCAAAAATGGCACAACATACTGCATGTGCTCTTTATTCTAAACTGAATCAAAATGTCCATCACTGTTACTGGATTCACTCCTCATCTTTGACTTTGCAATACAAAACTATCTCAAATCGTCATTCAAGAAATTATTCTTACATTGACAAAGACATTGTGACACTGGCGTTATATAGGCGCCACTTTAATTATGCCAATGCCAAATGTAATATTTAATGGGAGCCAAGAAATGAAAGATGATGATCAGCTACAGTCAGACTTACCAGACACATGAAAACCATTATCAGAAATAATCTAAACTTACACTGAAGCCGGTCAAACCAATTGCTTCTGCACCCTGGAGCACACTTCTGAATCATTAGCATTCAGTGCATTACAGCAGGCTTTTAAAAATCACTATCTTCACACTAATAGTTTCCCTGGCAAAACATACTAAGGAAAAACAATACATGGCTGCAGCAGATTATAAAACTCTCTGGGATGATAGCCTGCAGCCCTTTTCTTTGGCACACCACGCACATTTCCATAGGATAGACACGCCAATAGCCTAATTAAATAGAAAGCACAATTTGTCAAATCATCCAACAGCGCTCTCCAAATGCCAAAAGACTGCGCCCCGAATTACTGCGGGCCGCTTCAACAACACCAACAAAACGAAACAAAACCAAATGACCACTTTGAGCAAACACCTGCAGAGATGCTGATCACCATAGATAGTGCCGATGGTGCGGACAAACCTGATGCAGCATCATTTGCTTCTTCTGCCCACTAAATCAAGCACTTTTTCCATTTACGCGAAAACGCATTTGAACTCACCTTACCGGAGACTTCAGGTTTAAAGTTAACACCCTCAGCAAAACAGAATTCAGCGGGTGGACGGTGCCGCACGGTCTCCCATCTTTAAAGAGTGTGAAACTTAAAATGCAGGTAGGGTAAAGCAGGTAGTTTCTGGACTTCAAGCCGGTATTTTCAATAGAGTACACAACGACGCGCAGGTGTTGCGAGAGGAACCGACGCTGCTTCCTCCCTCTTCTCTCTCCTCTCCTTCACTTGGTGAAGCGCGGCCCACTTTAAATCCTAGTGACGTCACGAGCGGCGATGCTGTACACACACACACACACACATCTCTCGCGACCCCTGGCCATACACCTCTACACACATACGCACACACACACAAACACCAGTCCTTAAACATAAACCTGCATCGTCACTATATCAACTTTTGAAATATTAGGCTACTCACACTACAGCCTGTGGTCATGTAAAGAACAGATTTCCAGTCTTAAAACAATGCACTGAAGCACTTTTTGCTTGCTGTTATCGCTCCTCCCGTTCATAGTGGATATTAATGTGGTGGGGTACAAAATCCACAGCTCTTTTTCCAAAAGTACACTTTATAGTTTATCTGAAGTGAATATGAAGCTGCAGCAGACTGAGTTTATCAGCGGCAGTGAGAATCTTCCAAAGTTAGTCGTTTTAGGACAAATTTCCCCCATTTTGTGTTTTTACTTTTTCCCTACTGGGCTGCCATGGAGCCACGCTAACACAAAGAGGATTTTGTAGACTACTAAAAACAGAAACTTTGAAAGTGGCATTTGAATTAACTTAGACTGATGAGGCTACAAATTAGCGTCAGATAAACTTTACGGTGTGTTTTTCTTACAGACAAGCAGATGGTGGATTAACAGGGAAAATGATGAGAGCAAGAAAAACCTTTTACAGTATTCATGTGGGTGACTGACTATTGTTTTAAGACAGGCTTGAAAATGTAAAATAACAGAAAGATTCCCTTTTCCATAAAGAATTATCTGTCTGCTTTCCATACCTGTCTGCAACATTTCAAATGATGAAGTGAAAGTGAGTAAATTGCCTGGAACAGCATAATTATTATAATTAGAAGGTATATTTTTCTGCAAGGGTGAGCGTGTTGATTCTTCTCCAAACCTGAAAGAAAAATTCAACTGAGAAGATCAAGGAGTGAGTATCGTAAGTAAAAGTACAACAAAGTTTTCCTTCATTATTCAGGTGACTGTTCAAAATCTAATCATCCTTACACATCCTTGTCTGTCTATGACAGATTTATTCTGCAGTTGTATTTCAGTGATTGATTGCAGTAAGTCTTTGCAGTTGTGAACCTGAGCAAGTCATGTTGCTCTAACTGTTGCAGAGCAACAAAATTCCGTGAAGTCCAGATGTTCTCAAGGACAGACAAGATTCTTCTTTTGGTTTTCCACATGGAAGACAGCACCGAATCTAGTTTCCTACAGTGATGTTTAACAGATGATATCTTAACACAGGGAATTTAAAGTAATTGCTCTTTTTTTAGTGAATAACCATGTTACCTGAAAAATAATAAGAAAGGATAAGCCTGGTGATATTCAGTTTTTATGCCACCCTGTTTGCGACAGCCACGGCTGGAGGCCTCATGTTTTCAGGTGGTCCGTCTGTCCACACGGCCCATTCTTGTGAACCTGATATTTCAGGAACACCTTCAGGGAATTTCTTCGAATTTTGGCACAAGTGTCCTCTTGGACTCAAGGATGAACTAATTAGATTTTGGTGGTTGGAGGTCAAAGGTCAAGGTCAGTGACATCACATCTGTGAATTTGACAGGATGGCAGAGGCACAGAACTGCAAAGCTATTCTTTTAACCATCCTGTCTTAAAGACATCAAAGTGCCATATTATCCCAAAGGAGCACTTCGCTCTCAGAATGCAGGTCTACTTGTGGTTCCTAGAGTCTATAGAAGCAGAATGGGAGGCAGAGCCTTTAGCTATCAAGCTCCTCTCCTGTGGAACCAACTCCCATTCTCAGTTCGGGAGGCGGACACCCTCTTTACCTTTAAGATTAGACTTAAGACTTTCCTTTTTGATAAAGTTGATAGTTAGGGCTGCATCAGGTGACCCTGAGTCTTCACATAGTTATGCTGCTAAAGGTCTAGGCTGCTGGGTGGCCCCATGATGCTCTCCTCTCCTCTCCTCTCCTCTCCTCTCCTCTCTCTCCAAGCATCCATATGCCACTATTACATGTCATTAATTTTGTGTCAGCTCTCTCCTGAAGGATCAAATATACACTGTCCTGTCCCCACTCATGTGTATTACTCCATGAGTGAAAGTAAAGTAGAAAAGTAGTCCCAACAAATGCATTGTTTACTCCTGGTTAAGTAGCTTTAGCTCAAAACTAAAGTGCCTAGTTGTTCTAGGTAATTATTTATTCTATTTAACGTATATTATTATATTTATGACCTTTTTTAAGATTTACGTCTTCAGCAAGAACAAGTGGGCTTGCAGCCGAGTGCCTCATCGTAGGCAAATTGAAAAGTACTGAGAGAAGGAATAAGATATTGTTGAATGTGATCTTTTTATGAGCTTGATTTGGAGCAAATAAAATACAAAATAGCACTAGGATGATTGTTGCAACATATTCTAAGACCAATGAGAACTGAAACACAACAGCCAATGTATTAAATATTATCCAAGGCCTAATTTGCAAATGCTCAGAATCTGAACCCTTCCATACTGAACTGCTCCGTAGTCATCTACACCACCAATCAACACCTCTGTAGCCGCACAACTCTTGCTATAGGCCTCAACTAAACTCTGCTGACACTGCTGAGCCATTCTGCTGTATCAAATTATGTTTTTAAGCTTTCACAGCCTATTAGTTTCCAAGCTATCAGAGAAGAATAAGTCCCTATGTTTCACTTTTTCAGATGTTTTTAATGCAAAACACCAAAATCCCTAAAATGACAACTATAATTCTCTTACATCTGTGAACTATACAAACATCTGATTTTGCAGTAATTACCTAATCACCCAAACATGACAATTTCCATTTAACTGCAGTCAGAACAGCATGGGAACACAACCTGGTACTGTACATTCAGTCAGCTGGTAGAGTTAGTAGCAATGGTACATAAATCCCTTATTTAAAATGATACTTGAGTAAAAGTATGCAGGTACTGTTAGCCAGATGTACTTAAATCATCAAAAGTAAAAGTACTCATTATGCAGAAAATGACCTCTGTGTGCATACTGTTATAAGCTGTATAATGTCATTGGATCATTATTGCTGATGAACTATGAAGTATAAATATATAAGTAACATTTTACTGTTGTCGGTTATAATGGAGCCAATGGTAGTTTTTAATTTTGAATAATCTGCCGATTATTTTCTAAATTTGTTAGTAAAATGTCAAGAAAATAGTGAGAAATGCACATCACAGTCTCCTAAGAGCTTAAAACGGACATGTTCAAACTGCTTGCCTTGTCCACCCAAAGGCCCAAAACTGCAAATCATTCTGTTTACTGAAGTTTAAAACCAGGAAGAACAGCTGTTTGAGTAACTTGACTAAGTGAGAGGTACAATTTTTCTCTCTGATTTAAAACCTGGCATGAAATGGACAAGTACAAGTACTTCAAATTTATGGTGGAGTACAGTTATTTTTCACCACTGCATCCAGGAGCTCTCAGGTGGGTGTTGTCTGTGTGTTTGCATGAACAGTTCAGCATCGATTTATATCCCCTGAACCAACTCTGCAGTATTCCCAGCGGCACACCACACATTTGCATGTACTTGTTCTGCCTCAGTTCAGCTGAGTGTTCGATTTTAATTTTTCATACTTTATCAGAAACGTATTTGCAGTCACATTCAGCGCACGCAGTCCTCTGTGTGCCGTCTTTGGCCCAGCTCCAGATGAACTGCATCTGTTCAAAAGTGAAAGAAGACACAGTAGCCTATGCCTCTCTGTCAGCTTGCTGAGTTATCTTATTCAAACAGAAGGACACAGCTCCACCTTCCCATAGTCTCTGGCTAAGGGACACTGTGTTCTGTGTCAAACATGTAATCCTTTACACCAAGGAGGGATCAGAAAACCAATTCTTTTAGAGGGAGAATCTTCTCCTGAAGTTATTTGTTTTTCCCTCCTTGATTCCTCCTTTGATTTCTGTTGATCATTTTCATGCAGAGAATTGCCTCAGTCTGTGCTAGCTATTAATAAAAATACTACTCGCTGCAATTTTTTTATATTTAGACAGAAAAGACATTTAGAAAAGCAAAATTAGGAAGTCAGCTTTAGTCTGCATTTGAATAGACTGGGAGGACACTCAAGGTGAAGAAAACTGATAGGAATTTTACTCTGTAAAGAATAAATGGACCAGCAAATGAAAATTAAGTCTGTGTCTTGCAGGTCATTATCTTACTGTAAGTGTGGATTGAGGAGGAAATTTCAAACACTCCAGATGGGATTCAGCTATTAAGTAAAAAGCAACCCATTTGGTTATGTTTGTTAAACATCTTGGCCTGACTGTATTCTTCTTAGTCAATGGACATGCATATTTAAGACCTCAACTGATGGCCTTTCTTCTCATTTGCAACTGGCTGCTGTTATCTGCTGCTTCAGAAGCTGCTGTTGCAGCCTGCTGTACTCCCCTACTCCCAAAGCAAAGTAGTGCTGGATGAGGCAACAAATCCACAGCATCAAACAAGATATAGTGTATTCTGCTGTTGCAGCAGTGCCGCTCATCTTCGATCAGTGCATTTGAGCTTGTACCTTTTATGTCTCATCTGCTGTCTCCTCATGGCACAGTGATGTCTGGAGAGTACAGTACATAGTATCATACTGCAGTTGGGGCTGTGGGCTGGTGGCCTGTGTGATGTCTGCTGCATTTCTTGTTCTTTATCTTTCTTTTATAAAAGACTAAAATTTGTCTGTGCAGTATGGCCAATTAGAGTCTTAGCTTTTTGTCTTCTGAGAGTTAAAGAAACAACAGCAAGGAAGAAACAAACAAAAAACTGTCTTATAAAGGAGCTTTGTGACCAGTTAAAAGTGTTAAGATAATAATTTCAACTGATATTGTTCTTGCATATAATAAATTCCAGTATTGATATGTGTTTAATCAACTACTTCAAAAAACACAAACTTGGGACCATGTAAAATTCCCAGAACAGTGCACACAGTGTGGGAGGAATGGAGATGTTTATTGTAGTTTCTTCTGCTTTGACAATAGAATTAAAGTAAATTGAATTTTGTGGCATTCACTGCTTTAAATTGAGCAATATATTATCCAGCGCAATGTTCAAGAAACAGAAATAGCCCTCATGAGGTGTACTATGAGGGAGAATGCTTTTCTACAAAAAAGTTTATTAACCTCGTTAAAAATTGCATCTACATACTCCTTCTCCCTCCTTGAAAAATCCAAATCTAACAGCATGCAAATATTCATTTCAAATGTTTAGCTGCTGGACACACGAGCCCTCCTGCTTCACTGGAATTAATCTGTTCTCAGTTTAAATGCGGCAAAGGTGTCAAATTGTCACATCACACTTGAGTTGTGATACACTCGTATACGCACACATCTTGCACTCAGATGAACAAATATAAAGATTAAGGCAGTAGAATTGTTTCTCTCTTATTCACTTACCCTTATAATTGTCTAATGGGAGGGAGACCACTGGTGTAGATGTTGGGAGAGGATTGTCTGACATGTCCACAATTTGTCAAAAGCAGCTTAGAATTCACATGGTTTTTGGCCATGGGCTCGAGACAGGACACGACCAATCTTCTCTCTCTGTCAGTCCTGGTTTATGAAGAGAAAGATGATTTTGGCAGCATGATGTGTTTGGTAAACCAGGCACGGCTTAGTGGCCTTGTATCTGTCAGGACAATGTGTGGAAACTTCAGAGCAGATTGTAAAAATGGCAGCCGGTTTCAAGTTTTACTTGATATCCAGTCTACATGGTATGCTGACACATCATTCACCAGGGAAGGTGATGGGCCGCTATCCGACATGAAACCAGTCATTGCTAGTTCTGATTTATTTTTTCCACAGAGGTCAAACAGTCTGGCTGACACAGCAAAAAATAAATAAATAAATAGAAAGGATCATTGACAGAAAAAGTAAAGAAACCACAGGAACAACTGAGCATAAGTCTGAGCTTTTATATTTCATCAACAGCCTCTTTTTATCTTCTGAACACCTAAGGAGAGTATTAACAATATTAAAAGATATTTTAATATTGACATTTGAAATGTATGAAGCAAAGTACTAAAGAGAAGAAGGTTTCGCTGTGGGTGAAATTAGATACTGGATCCTTGGTGATTTTGGACTGAAATAAATAAAGCAGGGGCAGAGCAAGTGTGGAAAATGTACTGGTGGGATAATAAATAGTAAAAAAAACATTTCTTATAACTTTACAGCATTTATTTTGTGTTATTTTCTCACTGTTAAGTACAGTGGTACAGCCAGTTTCTTGTTTAACTGCAATACAGTATAGTTTTGACTTAGTGACATGGACAAGACTTGACCTTGTACTACTTACCTCAACAGGCCCAATTAGAAAAACTTGGTGAATACAGCGTTCATAGAGCCTTCATAATTTTGGTTAATCTGAAATTTGTCAGTGTTCACATTTTAAAATTACATAACATTACCAAAGAATTACATATTTTGAGACAAAAAAAATCTCCCAGTGCATGCCACTGTGCAACTTTATACTGTCGTACCTTTTACTTCACTACATTTATTTAATATCTATAGTCATATAATCAAGATTTTGCATTTAAAAAAATCAAAAACAAATTCTAAGCATATAAAATACAACACATTGTTACACACTTTATGAAAAACAGCTTCTAGTTTGTCACATTTCAGCTGTCAGTACTTCCATCAAAGAGACATTATTCTATATAAAACCAAAAAGAAAACGGAGAGAAGAGAAAAGTCCAAAAATAAGTAAATTATATATATATAAAAGAGTACATTTGTGTGGCAGTTGCTCTCCTTTTCAACCACAGTAGTTATTGTCACGGCTGCTCAGATTTATCTTGAGACCTTTTGGAAGGACCTAACCCTTAGGTTGGAATCATTGGATTAAACTCCGGAGCTACACAAAAAGTATGGTCTGACTGAAGCTGTAAAGGTTAGATCCCACAACTCAGGAGTAGGAAGAGGCAGTTACCTCTATGATTAGGGCAAGGTTTTGGTAGGGTTAAACATCAGGTTAAAGGTTAGGTCGAGATTAAGATAATGAAAAACGTGTACGGGAAAACACAAGCCACTCCAATCCAATTTACCCCAGAATTATATAGCGTTATATCCCAAGACTCTCAAGTCTTGGGATATAACGCTAACCTGGATAAGCCTAATGCCTTGTAATACTACCCACCACCAGCAGAGGGGGCAAAATCCCAAGCACAGCTATGCCGCCCGGAAGAGGATTGTAAATATTTTTGTGACGTTTCGTTCACATCCACCCATTAATAATAGCAAAACCAGTACTTCTGTTCCTTCAGCTCATGACAATACTGCTCCGTGTCTTCTTCTGTAAGCCTCTGTCGACCAACGTTAGTGTGTCGTTTTGAATCAGAGCGCCTTTTATTCTTCTGATTTCCACCCATTTTGCTGTAGCTCGTGTTTCCTGTGTGAAATATGCAGAAGAGAAGGAAGCCAGAGCCGATCCAACTCAACCCAATCCCCGATGGAAAAACTGTCAACGGGACTGGAGCCACAGAGTGAGTGGCATTCATGATTTCGTACTGATATGTGAAGCGCTGTGATCTGTCGTTTATGTTCACTATGGTATAAAGGCTAATGATAACTCCAATAACATATAGAAGAGCAGTTCCTTTACAGTCAGGATGTAAACGTGTGCCTAATGTGAGAGTGTCATTTGGGATCTAATTGTGAGGTTTACACTATGGATGCAACTAATAATTACTTTCATTGCTATGTCTTAATATGCTGCAATTATCTACAGAGCCCAAGGTGAAATCACAAATGTATATTGTTTTGTCTGATCAGCAGCAGTGATGCTGATAATAATTGTCATTCTTGTTTTATTAATTGGTTTTTGAGTTCATCATTTAGACCATAACATGGAGGACCATAGTAAAAAGCAGCATGTTCAGTCAGGCTAATTGTCCAAAACTGAATTGATAAAGATACAAAGCAGAGATAAAGCAGCAAACCCTACCATCTGATAAGCTGGAGCCATCAAATGCTTGGTACTTATGTTTGATAAATGATTCATAACCAGTTATCCAAATAATTGGTGATTAATTTTCCATTGTTCAACTAATCACTAAGTCCATTTCTTGTTTCAGTGCTAATGAGCAGCCAAACTTCCACAGGTGTTCAGTCTATTATTATATAAAACAGGACAACCAGCAAATCCTCTTATTTTAGAAATCTTTGTGATTTTGCTTGGTAAATGGCTGCAAACATTTAAGTGATTTTCCACATTTGTGTCATTTTCTATAATTTTAAGCACTAATTTAATCATTTTGGCTGCTGAATTCAGCATGATTTCAGTTTATTTTTGACTCAAAAGCCATAGCCCATTCTGACATTCACTTTGCTGCAGTGTTTCTCAGCATACACTACATAAACATCCTTTTCTTTTATGTGCAGCTCTTAGGCCCTGGGGTCATCTCTTCATGGTGTCATTGATGAACAGGTCTCTCGTTACTCAAACAGCCAACTGTGTGTGGACAGTGATTAGTCAGAGGCTGACCTTTGCAGAGAGGTAGTGTGTAGAATAATATATCTCTGTGCTGAAGAGGCTTTGTGTGGGCCTGTTCTCACCACTGTTTGACAAAACACTGTAATGGAAATACTAAATAGTCGTGACAACATGCTCTAGTTCTCAGTGCACAGAGAAAAATCCGGTCAGTCCAGCAGCAAGCTGGTTGAGTTGACAATTATATAACATGCCATCTTTGTGTTGGCTGTTCTTCTAATGTGCAGAGGTGGAATATACAGTGGGTATGGAAAGTATTCAGACCCCCTTAAATTGTTCACTCTTTGTTATATTGCAGCCATATGCTAAAATCATTTAAGTTCATTTTTTTCCTCATTAATGTACACACAGC